CCAGGGAGGGGGTAACCACAACCTCTCTGGGCAACCTGTTCCAGTGCCCCACCACCCTCACAGTAAAAAACTTCTTCCTTACATCTAATCTAAATCTACCCTCTATCAGTTTAAAGACATTGCTCCTTGTCCTATCACTACAGGCCCTATTAAAAAGTCTGTCCCCTTCTTTCTTATAAGCCCCCTTTTAGGTACTGGAAGGCTGCTATAAGGTGTCCCCGGAGCCTTCTTTTCTCCAGTCTGAACAACCCCAACTCTCAACCTTTCCTCATAAAAGAGGTGTTCCAGCCCTCTGATGATTTTTGTGGCCTTCCTCTGGACCTGCTCCAACAGGTCCTTCTTTTAAATCATAATTCTTCTGATTGAATCCAAACATCATTGTACCATTTCCTCATACTCAGTCACGCACCCCAGTTTCCACTTTCTTCTACTTTTTTTTTTTAAACTTGCTCTGAAGATATAAGCCAGTTTCTGTCCATTTTATATTGTTTGACCGGTCCCTAGTCTATGCTGCTGGTCATTGCTTCCCAGCCTCTTTACCTGACCTTATTCTTCCAGGCTTTGTGAACCAGGATGAAACAAAGCTGACAAACCCTCAAGTGCTGGGAGAAGCTTAGTGTGTGAATTTAAGGCTGGTGTTTGTGTGGGTAAGGATCTGAACCAAATCCTAAACTGAAACAACCTCAGGTTTATGGTTCCTACATATGTAGCACAGTCCAAGTCCTGCTATGACAGCCAAGTGATTCAGGCCTGTCTGTGGTGTATGACAGGTGCAGGGACAGATTAAACAGAGCTACTGTCACATAAAGGCAGATGACCACGTTATGCTCCCTGTTCACAAAAACAAGTGCTTTGTGGATAAGACAAACTGTGTGCACAACTTTTGCAAATGCCTATAAGGAAGTCCATTGGCATAGTCCCATCTGTCTCTGCTAAAAATGTGTAGATCTAATTGCAGACAGATTTCTTATGAGGAAAGTTGTAGCAATGTTCATTGAAACTGAAAAAACCCACCCAGGCTCCATGCAAGTACTCAGTCGTAGCTGAAGAGGCTGTTGTTGTAAGTGGCTCTGAGCTGTTTCCCACGGTGACACCAGCAGACAGCGCTTAACACATGAGCTGCTCCATGGTTCACGGTGCAGAGGATAGCCCTGTTTTTGTCAACAGTTAAAGCACAGATGAGTTTGGAAAGAAAAGAACCTGTTGTTGAACTGTCCAGTGAGTAATGAAAGTTGGCTCATTTAAACCAAGAAAAAGTGAAGCTCTCTGAAGCCCAGGGATCCTTGGCTTTATTTTTCATCCAGGAACAAGAAAATTGTTTAGAGCTCATGTAGATGGTGAGAGTCTTCTAATTTGTTTCCAAGACTTGGGCTTAGATGGGTATCATCTAAAAGATATGGGCATATATGAGAGAGAGAAATGTTGCCTGGAAATGTCTGCAGATGCATGATACTGAAGGTGTTACATAAACTACACTCTAAAAAATGACACAGCTGCACTATTTCCATATTAAAGCTGTCTAAAAGGAATGCTTGTGTGTTCCCATTTGTAACTGCTTTCAGCTTTTGATTTCTGCACCCCAGATGTTTTTCATACAGCAACTTTTAAATTTTTCTCCTCCTCCTATCCAGACGAGGTCAGTAAGTAGTGGGGGAGCTATTCATCTTTTCTCTCCCATACCCTGCATCACCTTTCCTTCAGTTTACACTTTTCCAGACAGCTTGAAAGGTATCGTGTATTATGTTCTTAATAACAGGGTGGGCTCTTGGGCACCCATCTGTTTAACACTGTCATCACAGTACTTTGCTTTTCCAACAGTGCCGGTATCATACAGTTTCACTCCCTGGCCAGTGCAGAGCAATGTTTAGTGTACTTGGTGTTGAGGGAAAAGTGAACTGCCTTTGTATTTCCCATTTCGCTACTGAGCCTGTCCCTAGCCAGTCACTGGGGGTCAGAGGGCACAAAGGTGTCCCAGAGCCCACGCACTGAGGAGGCTGAAAGGAGGGAAGGATTTCTTGGCTTACTGCTGCCACTTACCAGAAGAGCAATATAAACCAGCTATTGCGAAAGCAAGAATCTGGACCTTTGTTTTTCATCCCCATCTTTGAAATGGGGGAGGGTTTGTTAGCATAAGGCAAAGAGATTCTTAACAGTCAGCCTTCTCTTCCTGCCCCCTGAAACACCCCACTCCAGCACTTGCTCCAGGAGCAGGAAATGTTGCTGTAATCATAACTGTATATTATATTAGCATAATGTCATATCAGTAAGACTTTTGCTGTCTCCTTCACATTCTGCATTCCGGCAAGACTTTTAAGCTAACCAGAAATTATTTTTACAGTCATGTTCTCTGTGACATAAGCATAACTTAATAAAAACATTTTGAGTTCTTAGAGGAAAGAAACATTTTCAAAAAACAGTGCAACTTTAGAGTACATCTGCTTTTTCTCATGCTGTGATCCATATTGACTCACTGGGCAACGCTGAACAAAACTCAGCACTGTTGAACTATGCTAGACATATAAAGACAGTTCAGACTTTTCAAAATTGTTGACAGCTTTTGAATTACTATTTGGCCTCATCAACAGGAGCTGGAGACTGACTGGACACTTTTAATTGGTCGATTAGATGATAGATCCCAGATTTTTAGGTATTTTAGACTATAACTAGGTGTGCCAATCATCCTGTGCAGGCAAACTCTTATATGTAAAGTCACCAAATTATTATACAGAAATGAAATGGTATCAAACACAAACTCATATACAATTGTATTTGGCCTGGAGCTGTGGATTGGAAAAGCTGGGGTGAAGTAAGTAGGTTATCAAACCTGCTTCAGCAAAGATTCTGTATGCTGTCCTTGCAGGTGTGTAGCCAGGTGTCCTGTAGACAGAAGAGCTGCATGATGGTTATGAAGCCATTGAGAAAATGGATGGTGTTACAGGAGACCTGATGGCCCCTAAGTACAGTCCTTTGGGAAATTTGTACATAACTTTAGTGATTAATCTCTGCTGTACATGTCTGCGCTGCTAACATTATCATCATTATTCTGTGGGAAGATTATGGCAGTCTCTTGGAGCAAACTTCAAACTGAACCATAGGTATCTGTGACGGGGTCCCTTAAGCAGCATTTCTCCTGCTGTCCTTGATTTACCCCTTATAACTATTGTGCCACCCACAGTGGAGGGCGTGAGTCTCTTAACCCGCAAAGGAGCTGCGTGAGAGTGAGTCTAGCAAAGCTTGTGCTGTGTTAGACTTGACCAGTCTTTCATACAAGTTGCATCAGACAATGAAATTAGAGGTTTTGAGAGAGATGAGCTTTTGAGAGAGATGAGTCTGTTGTTTCATGACTGAATGTTTCTGAGATCCCCAAGAATACTTCCACCAAAACCAGGGCTGATGTTCTGTCCATTGGTAAGAGAAAGAGGAAAAGCAAAGGAATGAATAACACATTCTAATTCTTAAATATTTACATGTGTCCTTAAGTTTGCTGTGATTTCTGTGGGACTGTGCTATACTGGTTGAAGCTTAACGCTGAAAGTCTTTGCAGGTTTGGTCACTTATTTCAGCCAGGCAATTCTTTTCTGGCCTAAACGAAGTGATTTTCTTTTCAATTTCTACAGGAGTAAAGCCCACCACTATTAAAAAAAATATTTATTTAACAAAATTATTTGACAGTAACATCCTCAAATGCTGCAGCTGACAGTAATTTTACTGTAGTGTGGTCATGTTTTCATAAGGGTTGCCTTGGAAAAAATTGTATGTTCCTAGACAGGACAGAAGATGATGCCAAAAATACAAACAAGGATAGTAAACAGGAAAAAGCAACAAGGCCTTATCTTTGTCCCTGGATAGTGCTGTCTCTTTTTGAATCCATATTAACTGAAGCTGTAGAAAGAGTACACAAATTGTTAACCTTACAAAACTATACCCTACAACTGTGCATTTTCTGGGAAGAGATTGAAAGAAATACGGTCTCGCTGTTCTGCATCATTGGGTAAAACATACATCCCCTTCAAACTGGGCACAGTTTGCCCCGCTGTTTTCCAGTCCTGAGCATTTGTGCCAATGTGAATATATCACATGAGGTGATAAAAAGCTGAATGTGATACTTCATTTAGTCGAGGGTTTAATCACTGTGAGCTGGCTCAAGGCTGAACACTTGTCCTAGTTGAACTGAGTGCTAACCTACTGTCAGCACTGATTTTTCTAAGTGTCTTAAATAGTAATAGTGATAGTATAGGAATGGTTTGTATGGGTATGTGTTTGGATTATAGAAGATTCTTCAGGTGAAAACAACTATATTCATGTTCAATGAAGATGAAAAGATACAAATGTATAAGTAGTAACAGTAAATGAGTGTTTTTGAGAGTTGATGGCAAATAAGGAATCTGTAATAGCATATCCTGTAGGACTGAGACCATTGGGATACATTGTACCAAATTTTTACAGTGTCCTTCTGACAGAGAAAGACAGCTTGCTTTCAGAATTGTGTTTACAAGTAACTGTAAGAGAGACTGCTAAAAATTCAATTTTTTTCATCCTGATGGGTTGAACTGCATATTCCATGGTATCTTGTATCTGAAGGGAAATTTGAGAAATGGAAATTTAAAATCAACTGTTTTGTGCACCCTGCATCCTTTAAGCACGTCTGAGTGGACTGCTTGTTTGGCAGAGACATTTTTTCCATTGTGGACAAATCAGATTACGGCTTTTGTACCTCATCTGCAAAACAGAGATGATATTTCTTCACCTTTTAGATACTTGCAAAGCTAAAGCAACAAATGTTTGTAATTTGCTTTCGCATTCTTGGACACAAAATTTTCTAGTACTTTTCTGGTAAGTACTAGGGCTTACTCATAAGAATAATGATTTCCCAAACAGGCTTTATCTTCTTTCAAAGACTGTGAGAAATTTAGGGCTAGGAAAAGGCAGCTTACTGAAAACTGTACTATATATTTGACAGTCATATTCCTTCTGAAGATTTTCATGTTTTTTACCTTCAGGTTATTAACATCCTGCAGCAAGACATCACTTCAGCCTAAAGGTTTGTGGAAGAAATAAGCAATACATGAAACTGAATGAAATTAAATTTTACATCTATTCATTTGAGACCCTGATGAGTGATACACGGGGAGAGCTAGAAGATGGTGAATTTCACAGAGAATGCAACTGAGAATTGCACTATTAATCATGATATCCACCAAACATTATCCCCTGTGGTATACATATTTGTATTTATATTAGGCTTGCCAGCTAACGGCCTGTCACTGTACTATGGGTATTTACAGATCAAGGCTAAAAATGAATTGGGTATCTACCTTTGCAATTTGACTGTAGCAGACCTGCTCTACATATTTTCTTTGCCTTTTTGGCTTCAGTATGTTTTACAGCATGACAATTGGACCTACAATGAGCTCCTGTGCAAAATTTGTGGCATCCTTTTGTATGAGAATATCTATATCAGTGTGGGCTTCCTCTGCTGCATCTCCATCGACCGCTATCTCGCAGTAGTGCACCCTTTTCGTTTTCAACAGTTTCGGACAATGAAGGCTGCTGTGATTGTGAGCATCATTATCTGGACTAAAGAAATAATGACATGCTGCTTTGTCTTTACGCATGGGGAGATCAGTATGGATGCTGAGAGCCACGTGGTGTGCTTCGAGCATTACCCCATCAAAGAATGGGAGCACAATGTCAATTACTACCGCTTCTCTGCTGGCTTCCTTTTCCCCTTCTTTCTGCTGGCCTTCTCTTACTGTGGGATTTTACGAGTTGTCCATAAGAGTCATGGCACTCAAAAGAAGAAGAAAATCCAGATTAAACGACTGGTTTCAAGCACTGTTTTAATTTTTTTGGTTTGCTTTGGACCATACCACATCCTACTTGTGGTTCGCAGCTTGTTGGAGAACAACTGCCTATTTGCTGAGAAAATATTTAATATTTACCATGTTTCTCTCCTGTTGACTACTTTTAATTGTGTTGCTGATCCAGTATTGTACTGTTTTTCCAGTGAAAGCACTTCCCAGAACTTTGCCAAGATGCGAGACTCTTGTTTAACATGTTTAGGGTGTCTGAGGACTGAGACGAAGGAATCCTATCTGCTGAATGCTCCAGAAACTCCCAGCAGGCCACAGCAACCAGGGTTATTACAAATATCACATGATGATACTGGACTGAAGGACTCCTCCACAACTAACATGGGCAGCCTGTAGCATTCATCAAAAAAAGGACATTAATCTAAAATCTGCAGTTATGGCCGTGTTTGTGTATCCGTCTGATTTATCCCTGTATTACAACAGTGTTACCTCCCAAAGGCTTATTAGCAATGCAGTACAGCGAGGTCGTTTCCGGAGGTGCTTGGACCTTGGCAACAGTGAGGAAAGCACATGCTAAGTCAGTTCAGTAGCAATTACGCGTCTGTTGTCATTGTGGTACCACTCAAAACCTGTTGTCTTGATGACTGCATTGACTGGAATAAGCTAGTACTCATGGCGTGTGGTTCTGTTGAATTCGTCTTTGATTGCTTTCTCTTTGCCCCCATAGCATCTAGAGAAAATAATTACCTACAAGCTGTCATCATCCGTCAAAAAGGTTGGAGATATAACAAAATAAATGTCCCAATATGTATTTTTAAAAAGAAAAAAATACAAAAAAAATTGCATTTCTGCAACATTTCTGTAACTCTCTGGAATAACTTCTCCTTCAGCCAGTTTCGAGGCCTGCAGAGACTGTGCCAGAACCAGCCTCCTAAAACAACCAGTCCAATAATGTCAGATGTTCTGGGAGAACATGCACAAGGAACTTAGCATCTGCTGAGACCTTTAGCCTGTTGATTAACTGTTGAATCTCAGACTGTTGAACCTCATCATAAAGCTCCTATTGACTTTCAGAGGTATGAGAACTCTTGGCTCTGATGGGGATAAATAATTTGGTCTGTTGACTTGGAAAAGAACAGGAGGTTGGTAGTACATGAGGTGCTTTGAACCCATGTGCTTTTCTGTGTCACTGTGTTCAAAGACAAATTTACTTACATCTAAATAATACTACATCTTGCTAAGGTTTTGATTGTGTCCTTTGCAATTCGTGTGTCTTGTGCAGCATAGAACATGCAGGCAATTAAATAACAATGCATTTGTCAGGGAAACTGTTACATGGATTCTGTTTAAACTCTTTTCTCCCACAGATACTATAGCTTTTAGGATTTGCTCCTTGTTCAGTAAATACAATATCAGAAATATGATGTATGAATGATCTATGTTTCCTGGTTTAGATAGAAATAAAATACAGGAATAAGCGGAGATAATGGCAGTCAAAGATGTAGGAGTTGTGCTCTATAGTATTGTTTCTACCACCATCTCCTCTCTAGGTTTTTTTCTTCTTTATTATACTAATTAGTCCTGTATGATTCTTCTTTGTGATCTGCTCATCATACCTTCTTCTATCTGTAACTGTTACACCATGAATACTGCCTTGTCCTTTCACTTCTCTGGTTTCAAATTTTTCCTGAAACACCTCTCTCTCTGCAACCTGCAGCTGGTAACTTCCAGCAGTATAATCAGTTTTGTTTCTTTTTTTTTTTAAATGTCAAAAGATTCTCTAGACAGCCAGCCTACTCCTGGTATCTGAAGTATGTCGTCGTAACACAGCCTTGCTTGTCATCAGTTTCTAAAAGGAATATATTCTAACAGTTTTCTGGAAACCACCTTGAGGGTGCAATATTAGAAATAATTAGGGGATATGTTTAATAAAGAATGTTTCTATTATTTTCTTCCCATATTTGTTCACTCTGTGTTTGAAATAACTATCTTAATGGCTTTGGCCCACAGTTTCTCTTTGCGAGACTACAGATCCTCTCCTCCCTCCCTCCTGTGGCAGAAAGGATTCATGTCCCCACTCCCAGGAGGGGATTAGGTTTGCTTAGGTTAACATTTGGTTTGTTTAATTATTTTACATTTCTTTATACTTAGACCATTCACCAAACCGGATGACCTTATATATGCATTTTTTTCTTCTGACTGTTAGTGCTGTTTAGCTTTACTTTCTCCAAATCCTCCCTCTAATCTCATGTCTGTATCAACGGGGTTGTAAGGCAGGGACTCCCAACTGCCATAATGCTGTGCTTGTATGTTGTTCAGCACTGAGCCAACTACATGGACTCCCATGACCTGGCAGGCCGTAAGACACACACGTAGTTTGTTCTAAGATGAAATATTTGTTGTCCTGTTTATGCTTTACTTCTTTACAGTCATCCACATTGTTTAAATTAGCTAGAATGCAGAGCATGCCAAGTTACATTGAATTGCCATCTGAGGGATTAAGGTTTATTTGATTCGGTACTTTGATGTGGTCAGCTTTTGGTCAGCTGCTGCAGTTTAAAATCAGATGGAAACTTGTGCAATGGTCCAGCATTCTGCTACAGTTCTCAATATTTAACCTGCTAACCTGCAAGAGAAGGGGGAGATTTTTTCTTCTTCTTTTTTTTTTTTTTTTTCTGAAGTCACTATTTTATCAATTCTTTCTATATTGTAACTATTATGCTTAGGCTGCAGAACTGTAACCAATATGGGAGGAAGGTAAAGATCACTCAGAGCTTTTCTTTCCATCTCAGCCAGAACATAGTCAATCAGGGGTCCTACTATGGTTGCCAGAGATATGCTACACATTGCTATTGGATTAAATACAGTGCTTTGGACTGCACACAAGAAGGGACTTTAAAAACACACATTAGAGAAGAAAACAAATAAATTATTACATTTGATATTTCTTAATGAAATCTGACTGTTAAAATTTGTATTTTGGGGAAAAAAGAGCAAAAGCTTACTAAATGAAGTTTTTTTGACAAAAGTTAGTGTTTGGAAAGAATAATATACATTGCACCTGTTAGTGCAATATGTCAGTAACCTACTGAGCATGTAGCACACAGAGAAGGAAATCAGCTGCTTCTTTTCCCAAACACACATTTTTAAATGATGCCAGTTTCATTTTGTGGGTTCTGTGTGTAGTGAACTTATGCTATCCTGTGGGGTTACTGGCTTTGGCAAAAAGCTCAAACATTCATATGAAATATTTCACTTAATAGTTATACTTTGCAGACTTCTGAAGGTGCTATTTTCTAATTGTGAAACTTCAAAGACAGTTTCACTGTAACATCCTCGAAGAAGGCTTTAAATAAAATGAATCTAAAAAAAAGATCTATAAAATAAACATTGGGAGCTTTGGTGAATCTGAATGTCTAGCAGCAAGTCTGGCATTAAGATTTCTTTCTCTCACAAGTGTTCAACTGTTTTAAGTCTTTAAAGGCTGTGTATCCTCAAGGACTTCAGAAGATGACTGTTCAAAGAATGCTGGTGTTTGTGCTACTAACTGATTTTTCTCATTCTCAAAAAGTTTTGTGTTTGTCTTACATAAGAGAAGGAAAATAAAACTCACCTGCCAGAAAGAAAAGTAGATACAAGGTGTTGCTGCCTGCTGGAAGTCCACTGTCCTTGGAATAAGCAGTGGTTAAACACAGCTGCTTTCTCACCCTGTTAAAGCACAACAGTTTGATGCTCGCTTTTTGTACTGTCATAATCATTTTATGACAGCTAAAGCATCAGTGCCTGAAAGATGCAGTGTCAAATATATCCTGTCCTCTCTGCTGCGAGGGCTGACAACTAGCAGAACTTCAGCCCTGACACTCATCTGGAGTTAAAGTAAAACCACAGCTTGAAATGATGAAAGTCAGGCACAATTCACAACCATTTGTTGTGTAGTGGTTCAGTAGGGCTTTGAGATATAATTTAATTTTTCTTCACTTAGTCTTGTCAGGAGCTGAATTTCTATAACTGGAATTCATCTAAATGTTCATTTACATAATTTTATTTCATACTGAATGCAAATGGGGTTTAATTTCTAATCATGCTTTAATTTCTGAGCATTAATTTTTAATCACTATTTATGTCTTTAATTCCTTTATTTTTTAACAACAGGATACCCTGAAATGTCTACAACCTTCCTGTATTACCTGGAAAGGGAAAAAATATATATAAATGGCAAACTACTAATATGAAGGAGGCAAATGGTATAGCCTACCTTTACATGGAAGGTCTGCAATGCTGCCCTCACTTTCATTAGCTCAGTTAAAGCTCTCCCCTCATCTACTCACACTTTCACAAACTAGCCACCACCATAAGAAGACAGTGTTAGAGGGGCTACAGGAAGTGTGCAGGGGAGCCACATTTAACGACTTCCACTACTGTAACACTTACTGGGTTTTTTTGTTTTGAACCTCCCCTCTCCACTGCAGCCGTTTTCCCCACCACAAGGTATTTTTAAATCCAAGTTGCTACAAGAGTTACTTCCTGTTGCAGTTATGAGGTTAGTAAAAAAGGAACAGCAATGCAATAATATTTCATTTTAATGACAGGCTTTCTTTGTAAAAGCCAGATCACCTCTTAGTATATAATATCATTTCATATCCATTATCCATTGTAACATTACAGAAAAGAAAGGTAGACCAAATCATCATGATGATATCCCCTTCCCACTTCACAGAGATGTTGTAAGGATAACAATGAAAGGTTGCGCGCAGCCAAGACACCAGAGATGAAAAGTCATCTTTTTCTGATCTTTTATATCTTGTGAGAGCCTAGGGAATAAGAAAATAACATGGGAGCAACTCTTGATATAGAAATCATTTGGGGCAGTCACTGCTGCACTTCTTGCAGCAGCTTTTCAATCATAAGCGAATGGGTGTTGTAGAATGGCAGCCCGTCCACTTCCATTTCTAGACTGGCAGTTTTTCCACTGCGGACCTTGTGCCGCGCAAGTGTTTTCAGAAGCTTTTCTTCCTTAAAAAAACAAAGAAATAGAATATAATTAAAATCCTGAATCAGACAAGAGAATTCATCAAAATCTTTATTTTAATTCTAGGGGAGACTGACCACATCCTCCATATTTATTTTGACATCAATTTGCTAACACCTTGTTTTCCTTGTCCCAAATGTGCAGCATCTGGAACTTAGGGAGTGTCAAAAGGCTTATATTCTTGACTGCTATTTAATTACTGAATTATATTATTGTTCTCCACACTCCCTCAAACAGTACATCAGTGTCAATTCAGAAACATGAATCCTTTTTTGCCTGGTTTCAAGTTCCTACATTGCACAAATCAGAATCAGAGGAACCTCCACCCAAGTATCTTATAAACTACCTGTCATTTCCCCAGCATAGC